GTGTCTGACTAGCAATCTATTTTTCTCAAAGGAACACAGCTGATACCCTCCCCTACTCCCTATGCCTTTTCAGATGCAACTGTATCCACCTACCCCTAGAAATGCTGTCCTTGCACCCCATGCCAACACTGAAAATCAGGCTGCGCAATTCTGGGAAAGTATTCTATTTCTCAGGTGTGTGGCAAGAGGGAGGCAGTGTGAGATTCCCCTAGCATTATCATTCATTTTGTCCTCTATATACAAAATTCAGTACAGTCTTCATTGTGGAGAATGGCTTTGCCATTCCAACAAATCTTTCATCTTTATAAAATGCAAGGTAGGGGAACTATTGCTCCAACCATTGAACCATTGTTCTGTATGGCCAGGTTCTATGAAATTGCTCATTATTTCCACTCAGAACTACTTCTTCTTCTTCTTCTTCTTCTTCTTCTTCTTCTTCTTCTTCTTCTTCTTCTTCTTCTTCTTCTTCTTCTTCTTCTTCTTTCTCTCCTCCTCTTCCTCTTCCTCCTCCTCCTCCTTCTCCTCCTCCTTCTTCTTTCCTACATTTTTAAAATAAATACTAATCTCAAAGGTCTAGCTGGGCGTTGGGTATTATGACCTGGGATCATTTTCCTCATTGTTTCTGTTCAATCTGTCCTGGCACCTTTCCTGGGACGCTGTGACAAACACTTTGGACCCACGACTTTGCGTTGCAGGGTGTGGCTTGGCTCCCAACTCCTCCTCCCCTTGCTTGTAACAACCCAGCTCAGTGCAAACAGGCTGGAGAGACTCTGCTCCTGGAAATCCCCACGAAGCAAATTCCATTCCAGATCTTTCTCAATACCCAGAGGAGGTGCACAAGAGCTGATTGTCCCCCCAACTTCCCTGCAATTTGCAATTCTATATTCTGGGACTGGAGGAGCAGTGTGTGTGTGTGTGTGTGTGTGTGTGTGTGTGTGTGTGTTAATGGATGAGAGGGTTAAGTTAAGTAGATTGGGAGCCTTAGCTGGGTCCAACAGCTCAGTGTAATGCCTGTGATTCTGAGGGAGATCTTCGGGTTGAACCTGGCCCAGCAGTGTCTACATCACATCTCTTTACTAGGCTTCCCCAGAGCGGCTACCCTGTGATGCAGAGCCTGTTGCTTTTCTGTCATCCTGGCTTCCCAGAGATTTTTAGTTCCAATCTAGTGTCTTCTGCCTCCTGGACTCCATCCACTGCTGAGGAATGAGTATAAATCCAAAGTTTTGGGGAGTTGCCTTGTCCCTACAAAGAGGAACGTGACTGCCAGGGACCAAAACTGCTAGGTCACCTTCCTCTCAATGGCCTCAAGGGACCCAGAGAAGGTGGTGGATGTAGCCAGGGTGGAGTGATTTGTTCTTGGGCAGACATGGAGACAATCAGGATGACCAGGTGCCACCTCCCTCCCTGGTGTTCCCTAGTTCTCTGGATCTGCTGCTCTCTTTCCTTCGCTCCACTCCTGACTCATCCCACCCCAAGCCTCGTCTTTGGAAGTCCCAGAGTTCACACTTGCCTTCCAGGGAAGGAAAGAGCAGAAACTGGGAAAGGTGTAGCAGTAGTTAACCTTGCGTGACCCTGGTCCATGACTCACTCACTGGACTCCCAGGCTGGCCCTGATTCCTCGTGGATGGATGGCCAGCGCGGACACGGAAACAACACAGGCCTGAAAGGAGGACTGAAGTGAGGTACCAAGCCTGCTAGGGAACTCGCAAAGCATTTGATAAGAACCGATGTCCTGATGGAGATGGTAACACTAACCCCCAGAGAGCATCCCCCCACAAGATACCGTTCCATTTCAACACCACAGTCATCCCAGAAGTCAGGTCCTGTTTCAACTCCCACTTTATCTGTGAGGAACCTGCCACAGTGAGGTCCAAGGAGGCATAGTTAATATAAAGCAGGGCCAGGATTCCAGCTCTGGAGTTTGTATTCTTAATAACTGCTCTAAACGAATAAAAAAATGTGGCTATTATTCACTTTATTTTATAGCTGAGAAAGCAGAGGCTCAGTAAAGTCAAGTATCTTGTCCAATACTGTACAGCCTGGGAGAAACAGAGATGAGATAAACACTCCCCACCCGGACTCTAGCCTTCTCCCCAGGCACAGGGTGGGGCCATTGAGGAGTGCTGGATGAGGATGTAATTGCATCTTTCCTCTGCCTCGCCCTCCTCCACCTCAAGTTTCTGCCTTCTCCTGAAGCTATGAGCTCTCATTTCAGGTGACAGGAAGCCGCTGGAAAAAAGAGCCAGCCACCGAGCGATCTGGTGAGGAAATCAGAAACCCGCACCTGCCAGTCCAGGAATGGGTCCAACACGCCCAGGGCCTGACACCTGACTTCCCAGGTAGAGTGGCCAGATGCCCCAGGCCGAGGGAGGTGAACCCTGAAGGAAGTTAGAGTTCCCAGAAAGGCCAATGGGCAGAAGTTGAGAAAACAAAAGGCTAAGATGTGATTTTTAAAGACAGGTTGGCATCAGAGTCCCTTGGTTGGGAAGAGCCACCGAGAATAAAGAGGAACCTTCTGTTGTATCAATAACAATAGCTAACACTGGCTGGGTACTTTCTTTGTACTACAGGACCAACTCATAGCTGTCTGGTGAGGAAAATGCCTCAAAGTTTAGCTGATTCGGTAAGAGAAAGATGTGGGCGGTTTCCTCACTAGAGCCACCTTTTTGCTTCTCCTTAACACTTGATGGTGGGACATTTCAAAGGAAATATTGATGGACCTGGAGACATAGCTTAGTTGGGGGAGTGCCCCGGTAGAGTACGCAAGGCTCCGGGTTTAATTTCCAGCACTGTGGAGTCAGTCTTGGTGGCCCTGTCTATAATTCAAGAGATAGAGGCAGGAGGATCAGAAATGTAAGATGATCCTTCCGCAGATGCGGAGTTCGAGGCCAGCCTGGGCAGCATGAGAAAGAAGAAAGAAAGAAAACATCGTAATCAATCCCCACGAATTGATCTACTAGTTGCCATCATTGTCATCACACGTTTGTCTTGTTCCATGTATCTCCCTATTTTGCCTTTTATTGGACTATTTTGAAGTAAACATCATACATATTACTTGTACATTATAATACCCCATTATACACACAGTAATATATATCCCAGAAAGGACAAGTGTTGGAGCAACCCAGGGTGTGATGGTTAATCTTGGTTGTCAATTTGACTATGTTTGGCACCAACTAAAACCCAAGCAGGTGGGTACACCTGGGCAGGATTTTCTTGATTGGACCATTTGAGGTCTAATCTGGATCACTTGAAATCTGGATCACTTGAAGTCAGAACACTTGCGCCAAATCAGAGACACCTTCTGGGGACCAGTCCTCATAAAGGACATAGGAAAAGAAAGCTTTTGCTTTTTGACCTCTTGTCCTCACTCTTGCTGGCAAGTTCATCTATTCTCTTCCTGAGCCATGTCTTCAATGATCTCAGCACCTACTTCCTCAGGATTGCCCTGGGGACTGAAGACTGGGGGCCCTCTAGGACCTCTCTGGGACCCCAGCCCTGTTGTTTATCCCGTCTGCACAGAGGCTGTGATTTAATCTTTTGCTGTTTCAGCCACCAAATTTGGGTCCACAGTTACTGGTCTGCCTCTCTGGCAGTGGTCCAGGCACTCAGACCAGGATCTGGCAGGAATTCTGGTCCTTCAGGTGCTGGTTATGTTGCTGTCACCAAATACAGTTTTAAATTAACTCTTTATCATTCTATTTATCAATAAGACTGGAAGCCAAAGGCTGGAGTGGAAACCTGCTGCGTCAGAGAGGCTGAGGAGCAACCAGCTGACCCTCTCTCTGCCGGCATCTCTGAAAGAGACCATCCTTCCACTCCGCCAAAACAGAAGGATCCACACTGCACTAAGTCTCTCCCTACTACTTCCGGTATGTTTCTCTATTGCCTTACAGACACCCTATGACTCTCCACAAGTACTCTCTGTCCACTAGTTACTAACTTGACCTCCTGACTCAAAGTTGATTTTATTTCATTAGCTCAAACACAAGCTCAGGGTTCACAGTATAATCGAATGTCCTACAACCCCACACCAGATCAGGACTGCTGAGGCATCCTGCCTCATGGATTGAGGAACTCGCATATCCTTGGTTTTTCTATCAGGAGACATCTGCTGTTGGCTTCCTCTGACTCAGCCTGAACGCCACTCTAGTAAATACACATCCGTTCTACCAGGCCTGTACCTCTGGCGAACCCAACTAAACACGATGCTACATTGAAAGCAAGAGGAATGATTTTTTAATATCAATTAAGGACCCAACCACTAGTCAAGTACCTAATTGGCTCTGTAGTGTATTTTTTACAGTCGTTTTATACAAATTGGAATAAAAATAGTTTACACATTACATTTGGCCACCTCTCTTAAATCCCCAACTCACAGGGCCCTGTCTCCACGTCATTCATTTGTTGAAGAGAGTGAATCTTTTGCCCGCCCTATCTCTTACAGTTTTGCCAAGGCCCTGGAAGCCTTGAACCAGAACTCTGGTGTGCACAGCAATTTTTTATTTTCTCTCTCCCTCTATATACTGAGAGTGGGTTTATCAATGGAATATTTTGTATCCTGGACTTTCTCATTTTAGTTCGAGGGAAACAAATGTGTACTCACATGTGTTCTCAGGGGTGGACACTTGAGGTGATAAACAGAATTCTCCAGGGAAGACACAGGGCAGGATTTCTCCATCCTCATTTTCCTGCTATGAGCACTTCGTCCATTCCCCAGTATCCTGAGCAGGTAGCTCCAGAACCAAAAACACTGACCAGAGAAACAGAAATATCCCCATCCCAAGCAGAAGAAAGTCATCCTGGACCTCAAAGTGGGAGGTGGGGATAAAAATGTCCCAAATATCTAATGCCCATGAGAATTGGCATACACAGAACACATCAAACATACCACGTGCTTCATCTGAAGGATTTGCTCTCACAGCAGCCCTGCAGGGTGGGGAGTACCTGCTTCTGTTACCACGATTTGCAGATGACGAGAACCAGTTTATATCAAAGGCAGTATTCAAATGCAGGCTTTTCTCATCTGGAGAGAATAGCATTCTTGTTGTGGTCAACTAAACTAAGACATCTTCTCTTTGAGAGGTTATAGTAATATATTAGCAGAAGAAAAAGATGCCACAGAGTTTGGGGTGGCTCCAGCAATGCACACAGGAGCCCCAGTGATCGGAAACGCTATGTCTTCCATTTCACGGCAGAACGTGGAAGTTCGTTAAGCAGGTGGCACAGATGGAAGGCTGGAAATTTCTCGAAGGGATTGACCCTGGAGAAGCCATGATTGAGCATTCTCCCACTCTCTGTCAACTTAAGGACAGAAAGGACTTCCAAGGACTTCTAAGATGACCAGATCCTAGGTGGGGCACGCATGCTCTAATGTGGGTACTAAAACCACACGTGGTCAGGGTAGACAGACTGCAAGAAAAGACTCCCTGCAGGAAGTTCCCCTGGCAGGCAGGACAGCCACACATGGGCCAGAAGCTTACTTAGTGGGACAAGGGAACCAGATTTGAGCCCCCTGATGCCCTTGCAGCTAGGAGGAAAAGAATGACGGTTTTCTTATAGGTCAAGCTTGCTTTGAAAAACAAGTTCTACACCTGCAAAGCCCACGTCCTTCCTGCTGAAACATTGCCATCTTTTGATGGTTATGTCACGTGACTGTGGTCTCATTTCAGCTCCTAAGAAGGCAGAACCCAATTACTACATTATGCAACTTTCTGGTTTGTTTTTGAATTTTTTTTAAAAAAAAAAAATTGTTTTCACCACATTCAAGGCCATGGTGGTCAAATTTTCCCCAACCTCACTGGTTTGACTCACAAGGTTCTACCTAAGCATCCTGGAGACTCTTACCACAGTAGCTATATTCTCTTCAATGGGGTTAACCTGCTTCATTGGCCTTTGTCATTGTATTTTGTTTTTGAGACAGGGTGGCTAGTCCATGCTGGCCTCAGACTTACAATTTAGTAGAGGATGACCTTGAATTCCACATCTTCAGTCCTCCTGATTCTATTTCCTGAGTGCTGGAGTTACAGGTGTGAACCACCATGCCTGGTATAGGCAATGCTGAAGACTGAACCCAGGGATTGATCTCAGGACTTTGTGTGGCCTAGACAAGTACTCTGCCGACAGTCCTACACACTCAGCCCCATCAATGGATTTTGAAAAATGGTATTTTACATTTAAATGTCTTTTTAAGAGTTTTAGTGAGAAGCAGAGATGGAAATTTAGTCAATGCATAGGGAAGACAAAAAATTGAATGAATCCAGGTGCCCCAGATTCCATTTTGAGGCACTGAAATGAACACTAAGCTTTGTAATCTAGGAAAAATTGTTGAAGGGGCAAGAGACAGCATTACTAAGTCGTCTTGGTCAGAGTGTGGTCCAGCCTATCTTTGTCACTGTTCTGGTCCTGAACGGTGGTTTCATGAAAACTGCCAATCTGGCCTTAACTTGAGGAGACCAGTCTGGTTCCTCCACGATGATCTGTTCCAGGGTGTAGGCTCTTCTGAGCAGGTAATTGTTCTCATCCTGAGGATGCTCTGTCCTGCTGGCTCATGGCTTGGAGATAGTTCCAGTCCCTTGTCACAGAGGTATTTATCAACCTGCCCTGCTGCTCATGGAGTATCTGGTGACTCAAGAGGAGAGGTTCAGGACAAGGACTTCTCTCCATGCCTTCGGCCTGGATGCGGAAAGAGGTTGGTTAGGTAGAAAGAGTCTCCCTGAGTGGTTAACATGCCTTCACAGAGTCAAGCAGGGATCCTGAGTCCCTCACGATTTTAGTCACCCTATGGGCTCAACAGAGGAGCTAGGATGCTGTACTGAGAGGAACTTCTAGGAGCCTCTTGGGTTTGAAAGTTCTCGCTCATGAAAGAATTATAACATCCAGGCTCAGTGATGGAGTAGTGTGTGCACGAGAAGAACACTTGCTGCAACGGCAGAAGCACAGAAGTGAAGAGAGACAGATTTTTAAGTCTGAAAGTAAAAGTGCCACATCAAGCAGAACACAGGAGGGGGTCGGAGACAGAAAACATCATGAAGAGAGAGAGGGGGGGGGGAGAAGGGAAGGGAAGAGAAGACAAGAGAAGGAAAGAAATTCCAACAGGGAGCCATCTTTCTTTTTAAATAGTTCCAAGACTATAAACTATACTGATGGAGGAAGGTCATTATAAAAATGAATTCTGATGGGAAGGAAGCCAATGTCAGGTAACCACACATACGAAGCACATTGGCATAGCCTCTAAGCTTTAACTTATTTTGGAAATTGATTCCAATTTGTCATTGGCTTTGAAATTATCTTATGAAGTTTATAGTTGAGGCTGGGCCTTCTGCACTAGCCTCCCAAGTGCTGAGATTACAGCTGTGAGCCATCACGTTAAGGATGGCTTCATCTGACTTCTGATGACAATCCCCTTCTTGTCTCTGAATAATTCCAGAACTCTGAAGACAGTGTTGAGTGTCCTTGTCATGTCCTTGTCATGTGACCTGATCGCAAATGATGGGTAAAGAGCTTGAGTAACAAATGACAAGTAGTCAGGGCAAGAAAGACTCATGTGGGCCAAATTCAAGCAGCTAAGAGGTCTGGACAGAGTGACTCTTAGACTCAGCCTACCTGAGGCTCATTAGCACCTTCATCTGGTCTCTTCTGTAGGTGATCGCCTTGCAACTCAAGCAAACACTGCTCTGCTTATTTTATTAGAATCTGTACCCCTGCTGGACGTGGTGCTGAATGGCTATGATTCTGTCATCAGGAGGCAGAGGCAGGAGGATTGCAGCAAGTTCAAGGCCAACTTGTTCTACACAGCAACAGCAGGCCTGCCAGGGCTACCTAGCAACATCCTGTGTCAAAAGCAAATACACAAGGCTGAGGGTGTAACTCAGGTGGCAGTGTTGACGAGTCCCCAGACCACAAAAACTGGGAGTGTTAGTTCAGGGCTGCAACCCAGAGAGGCAGAAGCAGGAAGGTCAGAAGTTCGAGGTCATCACGGATGCATAAAGAGTTTGAGGCTACCCTGAAACCTTATCTCAAAAAAACAAAAACACCTTGAGGTTCTGCTGGATGTCAGCAAACAACTTTCATCGCTCTACAAGGAAAACACAAACGCAATTGATAAAAGCCGGTGCTTAAGAAAACACTGGCTTGGGAGGAAGCGCTCACGGGAGTCACTTTCCACAAATGTGGCTGTAAATTCTGTAGAGACGGAAACTGGGCATGGCACTGATGTGGGGTAGCCATTGTGAGCACTCTGCAAAAAAAGTTGGCAACTGGCAAAACAGTCTAGTTATTTACTTTGCATGAACTTCAGGGTAATTGTTTCTGTAGATAGACTACATTATATCAGAACCATCGAGCCGTCTTCATTTTCCTCTCAGAAATGCATTAAAAATTTGTCTCAGTTTAAAATAAAATAAGTTGTCAATAATAGGCTATTTTTTATACATAGACCCCATTTAAATTTTCCTTTAAAAATATAGGTGTTTAGTGTGTGTGTGCATCTGTGTGTTGTGTGTAAGTGTATGTGTGTGAGTGTATATGTGTGGTGTGTGTGTGTCTCTGTATGTCTCTGTGTGTCTGTGTGCATGTGTGTCTGTGTGTGTGCATGTGTGTCTGTGTGTGTGTCTGTGTGTGTGCCTGTGTGTCTGTGTTTGTGTCTGTGTGTGTGCATGTGTGTCTGTGTGTGTGCATGTGTGTATATCTGTAGGGCTGTCAGTGCCACAGCAATGCCCATGTGGTGGTCAGAGGGCAACTCCCTTAGCAGTCGTTTCTTTCCTGCCACCCTGTGAAACTTGGGGATCAAACTCGGGTTATCAGGCCTGTACCCTGTACCCACTGAGCCAACTCTCTAGCCCTTAAAGTTGTCTTTTAAGGCTCAATGGGAGGAAAAGAGAGTGAGTAAAAATGTTCTCTAAACAAAGTAGGATATATGTGTTCACAGATGCAAGCCTTAGGTGACCAGTGACCGCAGCGATATTACCTGGAGTGCAGTGTTGGAGTGTGTAGCCTTTGCGTAAAGACAGTGCTCACAGTCCAGTTAGGACCAACACCAGCATGGGAAGTGCTAATGCCACCAGTCATTCTAGTCTGGAGGACACCAGCATGGGAAGTGCTCTATCAAAGGCTTACATACTTGATCAAAGGTTCTCAACCGGTGGGTCACGACCCTTCAGGGTTGAATGACTCTTTCACAGGGGCCACATATCAGATATCCTGTATATCTGATACTTACCTTATAACTCATAACAGTAGTGAAATTGCAGTTTTGAAGTAGAATATAATTTTCAATATAAGTAGCAAAT